TAAGCCATCGAGCTATTGCACCAGGCCTGTCCCGTTGTTCACGTTCTTTCCTAAGTTACTAGAACGATGTTGAGACACCTCAGACCTCAGAAAGTCACTGTCTGCTTTCAGTCTGATTTGTCACTGGTCGGTCCCAAGTTGCAGAAGCCAGATCTGATGCTCTCTGCGTTGGAGGTGTCAGAACTGAGTGAGAGGACGCCCCGCCAGCTCAGGGCCGCTCGCTTGCTTATTGGTGCGGAGAAAGCCCTCCCGCCACACACACACCTTTTGGGTCACGAAGCAATCAGTGTTGGGAGTGGCAAGCAAGAGAAGCTGAGTGTGAGCTGGCTTTCCCTCCCTGTTGTACAAGATGCCTAATGAGAGCTGTGGGGGTCCCTTGCTGCGGGAGGCCAGAGAGAGTGTCTGCTTCTTCCAGTCATGGCCAGGACATCCTGCTCTGTGACTGCACAGCCCCGGCCCGGCTCCTGCACGCGGAGCACTCCTGAGAAGGCTGCTCCCTGCCACGTGACTGACTGGGTCTAGAACCGGCGTTCTTGTCAGGACAGGAATAGCAAATACCGAGGAAGGAGCTGGAGCCCCAAACTTGCAGTTCACAGACCTATAAGGTAGCCCAGAGTGCTTGAATTCTAGGTCTGTATGCACCTCCCACCCCGCCCCGATTGGCAGCCAGTTGGAACTCAACCATCTTGAACTCAAATCATCCCAGAGTGAATTCATCCTTATCTTCCCTCCCACGCCAACTCCTGGGTCTACTATGTCTTCACTCACTGGATGGCATAACTCTATCTAATATCTCAACCCAAACCCACCACTCTCTCTTTTGTTGCCAACCCCCCTAGCCTGCCTTCATGCTGCCTCAGCCAGGGGCTGCTTCTTATTCTACCTTACCATGCAGCACCCAAGGGAGACTCATTTGGAAATGAGCCCCATGTTCTGAACCCGTCCCTCTCTAACCTCCTTAACACCACACGCTGCCAAATTCCTTCCTGTTGCCCGAGCTTCTCCTCTGCTCAGCTGACCAACGTGGGAGTTCTCAAATCTTGTGCTTGCCTACATTCATTCTCATTTCTAATTATTTCCTTCTATGACTAAAAACTCAGGGCTGGGCCCAGCACAGTAGCCTAGCTGCTAAAGACCTTTCCTTGCAAGTGCTGGGATCCCATATAGGCACCAGTTCTAATCCTGGCAGCCCTGTTTCCCATCCAGCTCTCTGCTTGTGGCCTGGAAAAGTTGTCGAGGACAGCCTAAAGCCTTGGAACCCTGCACCCCTGTGGAAGACCTGGAAGAATATCTGGGCCCCTAGTTTCAGATTGACACAGCCATTACTGGCCATTGCAGTCACTTGGGGAGTGAATCATTCGACAGAAGATATTTCTCTGTCTCTGCTCCGGCCAGCAGAGCCAGTAATATGGACAGGGAGAGGGTCTGGGGATGAAACACCAACAGGAAACCAGTGATGGTAGAAGTCTCTACAAAGTCTTGCTTTATTGCTCCTTCACCTCTCCTTATCTACTCCCCCTCCCAAGTCCTAATTTAGACAGGAAATTAGATAGAGATGAGTCCAATGAGTCTAGGTGTTTTTAGCCATAAGCCCAGTTCCTGTTTCTGCCCACAATATCTCTCCTCCTCACACTATATATCTGCCTTTCCAATAAAAATAAATGAATCCAGGGCCTGGCGCGGTGGCACAGTGGTTAAGGTCCTCACCTTGCATGCCCGGAATCCCATATGGGCGCCGGTTCTAATCCCGGCGGCCCCTCTTCCCATCCAGCTCCCCGCTTGTGGCCTGGGAAAGCAGTTGAGGACGGCCCAAAGCTTTGGGACCCTGCACCCGCACGGGAGACCCTGAAGAGGCTTCTGGCTTCAGATCGGGCGGCATAGCATCGGCCATTGCACTCACTTGGGGAGTGAATCATCGGACGGAAGATCTTCCTCTCTGTCTCTCCTCTCTGTATATCCGCCTTTCCAATAAAAATAAAATAAATCTTAAAGAAAAAATGAATCTTTAAAATTAAAAAAAAAATGAACCCCAATGCAAGCTTTTAAAAAAAGTCACGGTTTAGCCAGTGAGCCATGTTCAAGTCCACCTTTTCTCACAACCCCAAATCAAACCAAGAACCCACAGACCCAGCCCTGAAATCTGTGCCCCATGGATGCTCTTCTCTCTGTCTTTACCACCATCAGCATGGTCCAGGCCACCAGCACCTCCTGCCCAGAAGGCTGCAGTAACTCATTCCTGCATCCCCACTCGCCCATCCGCAGAGGCCCAAGTACCTGCAGCATCCTTGACTATGTTCCCAGGCGCATTGCCAAGGAGCTGAATGGGAAGTAGAGCAGCCAGGACACTCCAACCAGCACTCCAGCTTTGGATATCAACTTTGCAGGCAAGGGTGTATCGCACTATGCCACAATATCGAGCACTAAAACGTATTTGCTTGTGAGGCCAAAAGAAGAGCTGTGAACTAGAGAACTAGTGACAGAGCTGTCCACTAGTCAGTCCCCTGGTGCCCGGAATGGCTAGAACTGAGTCAAGGTTGAAGCTGGGTACTGCAGCCCTCACCTGCTGCCTCCGTGTGTGTGCATTCACAGGAAGCTGGGATGGGGACAGGCACTCTGGTCCCTAATAGGAGCATCTCAATCCAGCAGCTTACTTGTTAAGCCGCACACCTGCCCCTATGTGACTCTTTCTGATCCTGGACACTTTCCCAGAAGCCTCCAACAGGCTTCCTCTATCTTCTCATGGCCAACGATCAGGTCATGCACTCACTCACAAATCAATCAATGGTGAGGGCGGTGGGATCACATGACTGATCACCAGCTCGAGCAAACGGAGCCTCAATCACCCCACAATGCCTCTAGTCATCTCCTCAGTAGGCAAAATATGGTAGCATTTGGGGCAGGAGTGTGGCACATCAGATAAGAGGTCCCTTGGGACACCTGCAACCCATATCAGGTTCAAGCCCCAGCTCTGAATCTGACTCTGGCTCCCTGTTCATGTGCACCTGGGAGGCAGCAGGTGCCAGTTCAAGTGCTTGGGTCCCTGCCGCCCACCTGGGAGACCTGGGTGGAGTTCTGGACTTTGGCCTAACCTCAACTGTTGAAGTACTTTTTCTGTCTCTCTACCTTGCAAATAAACACAAAACTGAGATTAAAAATGGATAAAACTGCATTAGCAGCCCCCTGTTGCCTACTGACCTGAATTAGAACCTGTTTGTTTTGTTTGGAAAGGCAGATATACAGAGAGGAAAGATCTTCCCTCCAATGATCAACTCCCCAAGCAACCACAAAGGCCAGAACTGAGCCAAGCCAAAGCCAGGAGCCTCTTCTGGGTCTCCCATGCAGGTGCAGGGTCCCAAGGCTTTGGGCCATCCTCCACTACTTTCTCAGGCCACAAGCAGGGAGTTGAATGGGAAGCAGGGCCACGGGGATTAGAACCGGCGCCCATATGGGATCCTGGCGCATGCAAGGCAAGGACTTTAGCCATTAGGCTACCACACCGGACCCTGGAACCTGGTTTGAGCATGCTGTTATCAAGTTACTTTCTTTTCAGTTTCTTTTTTTTTTTTAAGATTTGTTTATTTTTATTTGAAAGGTGGATATACAGAGATGAGGAGAGACAGAGAGGAAGATCTTCTGTCCGATGATTCACTCCCCAAGGAGCCGCAACAACTGGAGCTGAGCCAATCCAAAACCAGGAGCCAGGAGCCTCTTCTGGGTCTCCCACGTGGATGCAGGGTCCCAAAGCATTGGGCCATCTTCAACTACTTTCCCTGGTCACAAGCAGGAAGCTGGATGGGAAATGGAGCTGCCAGGATTAGAACCGGTGCCCATAAGGGATCCCGGCACATGCAAGGTGAGGACTCTAACCACTACGCTATTGTGCCGGGCCCTCTTCTCAGTTGCTTTTTATTTATGGCTTTTTTTTTTAAAAAAAAGAGATTTACTTATTTTTATTGGAAAGGCATATATACAGAGGAAGAGAGAGAGGAAGATCTTCCATCCCATGATTCACTCCCCAAGGAGCCGCAACAACTGGAGCTGAGCCAATCCAAAGCCAGGAGCCAGGAGCTCTTGCGGGTCTTCCAGGCAGGTGCAGGATCCCAAGAACTTGAGCCATCTGCCACTGCTTTCCTAGCCCACAGACAGGAAGCTAGATGGGAAATGGAGCAGCCAACTGAGCCATCTTACTGACCCCTACTTCTCAGTTTCTTTAACTGCAAAATGAGAATAACAATAATAATAGACACAGGAAAGATGAAATATATACAATGTTTAAAACAGTTACCCTGGGCCCAGCACAGTGGCCTAGCGGCTAAAGTCTTTGCCTTGAAAGCGCCCCGGGATCCTATATGGTCACCAGCTCTAATCCCAGCAGCTCCACTTCCCATCCAGCTCCCTGCTTGTGGCCTGGGAAAGCAGTGGATGGTGGCCCAAAGCCTTGGGACCCTGCACCTGCATGGGAGACCTGGAAGAAGCTCCTGGCTCCTGGCTCCTGGATTCAGATCAGTGCAGCACCGGCCATTGAGGTCACTTGGGGAGTGAATCACCAGACAGAAGATTTTCCTCTCTGTCTCTCCTCCTCTCTGCATATCTGACTTTGCAATAAAAAAAATAAATCTTTACATTTTTTTAAATCAATAAAACAACTATCCTGGGCCCAGCACAGAAATAATCCACACTGCCTGATCACGTTCATTATCATTTTGCTGCCTTCTGCACTATTACAAGCCAAGCTGTAACGAGTGCCTCTGGCTCCTCCTAGTGACTCAGACGGGAAGTGATGCGCCTGCGCTTTCCATCGGTATCTACACCTTCAGAAGCAACCCCCCCCAGACTTCCTCGGATTGGTCTGGTCCAGGCGGGGGGCGGGCCTTTCTTCCGGCTCCGCCCCGGAAAGCATCCGCGAGCTCCTGTGATTGGTGCGGGCCTCCGGAGGCGGGCTCCGAGCGGGGCGCGGGGTCCTTCGATCCGGTCCCGGCGATCGCGGGGTGGTGGGCGGCATGGCCGCTGCCAGCGGGGACCCGGGTCCGGAGGGCGCTGCTGCCGCCCCTACCGCCGCCGCTGCCGACACGTTCCGCTTCAGCTCGGAGCCCACGCTCGAGGACGTGTAAGCAGCCCGGGCCGGGGTGTGGGGTCGGCGCGCTCTCCCCCTGCACGTGGCTGCGGAGCGCGACTCCAGCAGCCCACCCGTGCACGCCTGAGGCGGGAACAAGTGGGTCTTTCGTGCTGAATATTAGGGACTCCCTCTTCCGTCCCAACCTTGGCGAGGTTTCGAACTGCACCCTTAGCGGCACGAGATAGTGACGAAAAGGCTGCAAGTAGGAGTCGGGCTGAAGTCCCTGCACGGCGGGGGTGTGGAGTGGGGTTGCCCAGCAGAGTCCAGGAGTGAGGGGATTAACTGCTCCAAGCCGTGGATCCCGTTCCCCTGGGGTGGGCGGACCCCCCCCCCCCCAGTCACCCCGACCCTCATTCGGTGTCCCCGTTGCAGCCGGCGCCTGCATGCTGCCTTCGCCGCTGAACGAGACTGGGAGCAGTTCCACCAGCCTCGGAACCTCCTCCTGGCCCTGGTCGGAGAAGTCGGGGAGCTGGCAGAGCTCTTGTGAGTACGCGGGTGTTGGGGGCCAGCAGTGATAGGGGCAGCCGACGTTGGTGGATGTCGTTCCCTCCTCAAGGGCCTGGGCCCGGGCGGGTGTCGGGTATAAAAACGGGAGAGAGAGAGGTGTCCATGGCTGTGACCCCTGCTTCCCGGGCTGGGGGACTGGGGTGTTCTGTGGGGAACCTATTGGGGTGTTGTTGGGGTGGGGGCACACGCAGGAAAAGGGTCACTTGGGGAAGCACCTGATACTCGCTCAGTGTAAGGAGGTCAGGGAATCATTGTGCCCTAAGTGAGCACTTAATGTACCCCTGCGTGAGTGATGGGCTGAGCCAGGGAGTGATGGGGTGGAGCAGGCTCCTGGGAACACACCGCAGAGCTGATGGATGAGAACAGAGAGTGCGAGAGTAGCCGCTGCCCCACTCCCCAAATGGCTGCAGTAGGCAGAGCCAGGAGCCTGGAGCCTCCTCCGGGTCTGCCACAGGAGTACAGGGGGCCCAAGTCCTCTGCTGCTTTCTGTGGTCCATCAGCAGGGAGGTGGAACCAGTGCCCGTATGGAAATGCAGATTTTCCTGCCATGAGACAATGCCCGCCCCTAAGTAAACCAGTTTGAAAAGATCCGGAATTGCCATAGATAGGTTCTGTGAGGAGAGGAACACATGACGATGATGACCGAAGGCTTCTCTAAGGGGACACCTGAGGCCCAGAACACCACAGCGATCCTGTGATGGGCAGATCTGTGGTGGGAGAAGCAAGGGGGCAGGCCTCCAAGGGACAGAAGGACAGTGGCAAACCATGATGGGGTGGGGAGGACGGGGCAGGGTCATCCCCGGTGGGTTCTGGGAAGTTCCAGATGTGACCCAGAGGCCATGGCAGGCAGTTGAGGGGTAGAACTATGCCTCCTCAGCTAGTATTTCCTGGGACCCCGGTGGGTAGGGTTGTCCTTGAGGAACTGCTGGAAGTGTGAGTTCAGGACTGTGAGTTCCAGGGTGCTCCTGGGGGAGGCGGAATCCTTGTGCCAGCTGGCTTCCATGTGTGTCTCTACATGTTGTGTGTGTCCTGTCCGCCTTCCCAGTCAGTGGAAGCCCGATGAGGAACCTGGACCCCAAGCCTGGCCCGCCCGTGACCGGGCAGCCCTGGAAGAGGAACTCAGTGACGTCCTCATCTACCTGGTGGCCCTGGCAGCCCGTTGTCGCGTGGATCTGCCCCGCGCAGTGCTCTCCAAAATGGACACCAACCGGCGACGCTATCCAGTCCACCTGTCCCGCGGCTCTGCCCGGAAGTATACAGACTTGGGCCAAGAGGCCGCCTCGGAAGACCAGGCCCCGGCCTAACCACGGGCCGGGGTCCATCCACATTCGGCCTGGCCGTGGAGCTCGAGCGTCTAGATCTTTCCTCACAGAGCCTTGCTCTGAGATCTGCTGTCCGCAAGCTTTCCGGCAGGTGGCTTCTTGGTGTTCTCTCTCCCAATAAAAGTTCTGGGTAACAGCTTCTAGATTGTTCCCTACTGGCCAGGGGGTATCTGAGCAGGTGCTGCAGAGACAGACGCTAGGGGTGACCGTGAGTGAGTCCAATTCCCTGTCTCTCTGGCTGCCTGCTAGACAAAGGCAGGTCAGGCCTGAAGAGGAGGGGAGATGTAGTGGGCTAAGATCCAGGTTATTGGCCAGGCTACCTGGATTCAGGTGTTGCCTTGGAAGCCTTCCCAGGCAGGTGACAGTCATGAGCTGGGAAACCCCAGCGCCAGCTTGATGGGGTGTTGAGGGGGTGAGTTAGCGGAGTGGTGTAGATGGGGCCTGCCGGGGTTTGGTGGGAGAAGGCTTAGAGCACATGCTGTCGTTTGTGGCACCTGCCTTTTCAACTCGGAACTTTTGCAGGGGCCTCAAGTCAGGGACAGGTGTCACGTGTGCAGACCAGGCTGCCCCTGCCTCCTCAGAGATGGCCCGTGTCTGACGCATTGCCACCCTGTGTGGGGGTGTGACCTTGGGCACTGGATGCCTCTCTGAGATACAAGTGGTTGCCTTCCCCACACATGGGGTGAGGCAGCACTGGGTCTCCCTCCAGACAAAAGCAGCGAGCCTCCAGCCTCGGGGATCCTCTGGGATCCTCTGGGAGTGCTGTCCGCCTCGCCCACTTACTCCACCTCACACCGCCATTTACTTCCCCCACCGGCTGTCGCAGCCCAGCTCACTGTTGGCAAGATACCTCAGACAAGACAGGTGCCTGGTCCCTTCTTGCCTCTGGTAGTCCTGTCCCACCCCTGCTCTTCTACAGGTGGGCTCACAGGCTCCCAACTTGAGGTCTGAGTAGACATGTCCCACATATGGTAAAACCCCTGCCATCTGCTTGGCATTCTGTACCCAAATCTTGGGGACAGTGTCCAGCAGTTCACCAAGACAAGACAAATGAGGGCAGTCACATCTGCCCTTGCCACATGCCCAACATGTCATTCGTTCCTGGGTCCCCGGGGGGTTTCCACATTGCAGCAGTCCTGAGAGACTTCGGGCTTCCTCAGCTCCGTCCTTGATGCAGACCAGGCTGCTGTTGGAGACCCCACCAGTTCAAAAACATATTCCTGGGGAGAGCGGACTACAAATGGTTTGTTTCTGGCCCACTGCTGTGTCTGTATCTGCGACTACCGGAATAAACAATGCACCTAACTTTGGGGTGTCCTGAGAATTGAGGCATCTTGCTACCCTGCACACGCCTGCGGCGGTGCCTGCTGAAGTCCGTCTGCGTTGTGCTCGCAGTGGGACCTCCACCCACCAAGACGGTTCGGTCGCTTAGGTTTGAAGGACACCTCTCCACCCGCCTCACTCACAGGCACGGGTGGGTGGAGGGTAGAATACTTTATTCATTAACGCGGGCCACAGGATTGCACTGAAGGGGGAGTGGGCACGCTCTCCGGGGACCCCGGCAGGGTTTATGCCCTTTGTCCCTGGGCCACCACACACCTGCCCGTCCCACCTTTCCCCAGAGCCGCGTACTGGGGCAGGGTGAGTGTATCGAGGGCCAAGTCCCCCGCCCAGCGGCGGTTGGGCCGGCAGCTCAACTGCCCTCGCACTCCGGGCAGCGCTCGGTGGCGGTGGCCGCTGTGGCGCCGGCCGGCAGCTTGAAGTCCCGGCCACAGCCGGCGCAGATGTAGAGGCGGCGGCGCATGTGCGCGCGCCGGTGGCGGATGAAATGCGAGCTGAGGCGGAAGCGGCGGCCGCACTCGGTGCACGGGTAGGGCCGCTCGCCGGTGTGCGTGCGCGCGTGCTCCGCCAGGTTGGAGCGGTGGCCGAAGCGGCGGCCGCAGACGGAGCAGCGGTGTGGCTTCTCGCCCGTGTGCACGAGCCGGTGCTTGGCCAGCGCCGAGCTCTGCGCGAAGCGCGTGCCGCAGTCGGCGCAGGCGTAGGGCCGCTCGCCGGTGTGCGTGCGCCGGTGGCGCGCCAGGCACGAGCTGCCGCCGAAGGCGCGCCCGCAGTCCGGGCACGCGTACGGCTTCTCGCCCGTGTGCACGCGCAGGTGCTGCGCGTAGTTGGAGCTCTGCGCGAAGCGGCGGCCGCAGTGCGCGCAGGCGTACGGCTTCTCGCCGGTGTGGCGCCGCCGGTGCTGCCGCAGGTTCGAGGCGGCCGAGAAGCGCTTGTCGCACTCCGGGCACTCGTAGGGCCGCTCGCCGGTGTGCGTGCGGCCGTGTTTGGTCAACGCCGACTTCTGCGAGAAGCGCCGGCCGCACTCAGTGCACGCGAACGGCCTCTCGCCCGTGTGCGTCCGTGCGTGTTTGGCCAGCGTGGAGCGGCGCGCGAAGGCGCGGCCGCAGTCGGGACACGCGTGGGGGCGCGCCGGATCGGCGGGGGGCGCTGGCGCCTGGCTCGGGGCCTGCGGGGAAAGGAGAGGGGGACAGGTCAGCCGGGGCCTCCGCAGGCTGCAACCCCTGTGCTTCAGTTGCTGTGGTCTGCGGAGCGTGGGACGCTTTGTGCACATTCGGTGAAGACGCAGGTACCACACGCATTCCTGCTGGCTTTATTACTTCAACAGATATGTACTGGGCGTGTGCGGTGTGTTGGCCCATGTTAGGTAAATAATTGGGCATTAAGCCTGGGGACCCTCCAGCTCCCTGCTTCTGGCCTGGAAAAGGGAAGGGGATCCTGCACCCATGTGGGCTATCTGGAAGAACATCCTGGTTCCTGGCTCCGGATCAGCTCAGCTCAGCTCCAGCCCTTGCAGCCATTTGGGAAGATGGAGAATCTCCATGTCCTCTCTCTGTGTAACTCTCTTTCAAATAAAAATAGTCTTTTTTAAGAGAAAGCTCCTGCTTTCAGAACGAATGGGCAAGGAGCACTCGCCGGCACAGGGGCACGGTGAGGGCTTCGCATGGTTTTCTGCCATCTTGCCGGTGTGAAAAGCAAATATCTACAGGAGGCACCCAGGAAGGTGCCCAACAGCAGAAGCCCCAGGGGCTACCTGCCCCAGGTTCTGAGGGACGCAAGGTTAAATGGAAATGCAGCATCTCTATGGGATGCTGGAGCTACAGCGAGAAGGATTAACTTCCTGTGCCATAACACTAGTCCCTCAGTGGCAATCTTTAGTCAGGCTAGAAGAGATGGCAATCCCCGAACACGAGGTGCACACCACAAGCTGCCAGGAGATTCTGGGGATCTGCGGGCAGACTTCTTTATGGAGGACAGTCGAAAGCCTTGAGACGCTGCACCCGCATGGGAGACCCAGAAAAAGTTCTGGCTCCTAGCTTTGGATCACCTCAGCTCTGCATGTTGTACCACTTGGGGAATGAATCAGCAAGTAGAAGAGCTCTCTCTCTCTCTCTCTCTGTCTTTCCCTCTCTCTCTGCAACTCTGACTTTCCAAGTAAAATAAACTTTTTTGGAAATACTTAAAAAAAAAAAAAAGCTTTGCAAAAAGCAAACCAGAGAATCCATGAAAGGACGGGGCCTCCAACAGTTCCACAGAATAAACAGCACTGGGCCCAGTGTGGCACAAATTGGGACCCATATTGGATCTCGGTGCTTACAAGGGGAAGATTTGGCCACTGAGCCATCATGCCAGGTCCCAGGTCCTACTTTTGTAATTCGTAACAATGACATGGGGCAGGCAGTGTGACACAGTGCTTAGGCTGCTGCCTGGCATAGCTGTATCATGTGTCACAGAGGCTGGTTCTGGTCCAAGGCACCTGCCTGCTAATGCACTCTAGTGAGCAGTGGAGGATGGCTTGATTAGGTTCCTGCTGCCCACATGGGAGACCCGCACTGAGTTTTGAACTCCTGGGCTTCAGCCTGGCCCCGCCCTAGCTATTGCAAGCATCTGGGGAGTGAACACAAGCTCTTTCTCATTCAAATAAAAACCTGGGTAATGGTATTGGTTCGCCACTTCCTCATTTTGAAATCTCACAGTGCTTTGGCCTAGGTACCTTTGCCTTAGCTTTTTTTTTTTTAAGATTTATTTTATTTTTATTGGAAAATAAGATATGCAGAGAGGAGGAGAGAGAGAGAGGAAGATCTTCCATCTGATGATTCACTCCCAAGTGGCCACAACGGCCGATGCTATGCCGATCCACAGCCAGGAGCCAGGAACTCCTTTCCGGGTCTCCCACACGGGTGCAGGATTCCAAGGCTTTGGGCTTTGCCGTCTTTGACTGCTTTCCCAGGCCACAAGCAGGGAGCTGGATGGGAAGTGGAGCTGCTGGGATTAGAACCAGCGTCCATATGGGATCCTGGGGCGTTCAAGGCGAGGACTTTAGCCGCTAGGCCTCGCCACCGGGTCCCCTTTGCCTTAGCTTTTACAAATGAGACTTAGACGTTAGATTAGGTAACTACCCAAAGCCACACAAGTTACAGATGGCAGAGCCAAGACTTTGAACTGGAAACCTGGTATACTTTAAGGCACCCAGCCTCTTGACCAGGCCGCAGTTCAGATCTGATGGCTCACACACTTCCTCTGGGCCCTTCTGGTGGGGGGTAACCTCCCCCTTTGCAGTGCAAGGTAGGAAACAAGCCCCCAAGGGCTCTGCAGACCACAACGTGGGCAGCATGGGGACCCTATTGGAGACAGAGGCTCACGTCCCAGCCCTCCACCCCGAAGTACTTGGTCAAGATCTTCATTTGAACAAGATCCCGGATTCCTGTTGACAAATGAAAAAGCCTGTCCTAGGAGAGAGAAGAGCGACCCCCGGAGGGAGCAGGTGGAGGTGAGGCCAGCCCCATAGCAGGATGGGCAACACCTCAGAGGTGCGAAGGGGGCTGATCTATGAGGAGCTGGGCTGGGGTACATATTCCAGGAGTCAGAGATGCAACCAGGAGCGCTCTGAATGCCAGGTAAGACCTGATTCCGAGGGACAGAGCCAGAGCCAAGGACAAAGGCAGGTGTGGATGGTCATGGAGCCCTCTGAGAAAAACCTTTTCTGCGCCCTAAATGACGGGCTGGATTTTGATAGGCCCAGATGCCCAGTGCAGCACGATTGGGGTCAAGTACTGGCAGGGTGATGAGACAACCTCACAGGATGTCCACTAAGGGAAGACACTTCTGAGATCACCAAGTTACAGAGAAATGAGGCCAGTCAGTGTGCCGGCTTGCAGCTGGGTCCAGGACGCCTGGAATCCTTAGTTCCACTCTCTTCTTCCAAAACCCACCTCCTGGAGAGCACCTCACACACCGGCACGCGAAAGCCTCCTGCTGCTGTCCCACTGCACAGGTGAGAAAGCTGAGGCAGAGCTGGTACATGCTGGGGATCAGAACTGGCCATGACACCACTTAAGAGTGTGGCCCTATGTGCACTTCTGACTGGTCAGGCCAATCCTCCAGTGTGGTCCCTTCTCCCCATCACCATGGCTACCACCTCAGTGCCAACACTGATCCCATAAGCCCCAAGCAGCCCATCCTGCTTCTCAACAGAAAACCCAAGTCCAGCTCTCCTGGGACTTCCGGAGTCCCAGCACTGCACAGCCTAAAACAGGACACCCAGATTTCCTGCCCTGGCTCTCCAGGCCTTTTCCTCTTTGGCCCCAACTGCCTTTCTAGTCCTGCCTCCTCTGAGCTTGGCTCCTGCTTCCAGAATGCCCCCCTTCCATTTGCCAACACGCCCCATCTAAGCCTTCCAGGCCGAAGTCAACCGTGAGCATGGTGAAGAGCTGCCCACTGCGAGACACTCTCTCTCAAGGCCTCCAGGCTGGCTTCCGGTCACCCCGGTCCTCAGGGTTCAGTGCAGAAAGGCACTGATGAAAAGAAGTTAAAAACTCTCCAGCAGGATGACCTAGCCCATGGCTCTGAACTTCCAAGAGAAGAAGAAACGGCAGCCAATATTGACATGTTTATTATGTGCCAAATCTGGTTCCAATTATTTCTGTCTTAAGAATTTATTCACTTGGGCCTGGCAGAAGGGCCTAGCGGCTAAAGTCCTCATCTTGAACGCCCCCAGGATCCCATATGGGCACCGGTTCTAATCCCGGCAGCTCCACTTCCCATCCAATTCCCTGCTTGTGGCCTGGGAAAGCAGTTGAGGATGGCCCAAAGCCTTGGGACCCTGCACCCGTGTGGGAAACCCAGAAGAAGTTCCTGGATCCTGGCTGTGGATCGGCATAGCATCGGCCGTTGTGGCCACTTGGGGAATGAATCATTGGACGGAAGATCTTCCTCTCTGTCTCTTCTCCTCTCTGTCTCTTCTCCTCTCTGTATATCTGACTTTCCAATAAATAAATTAAAAAAAAAAAAAGTTCCTGGATCCTGGCTTCAGATTGGCACAGCACCGGCCATTGTGGCCACTTGGGGAGTGAATCATCAGACGGAAGATCTTCCTCTCTCTCTCTCCTCCTCTCTGTATATCTTATTTTCCAATAAAAATAAAATAAATCTTTATATAAAAAGAATTTATTCACTTGAAAGCAGAGTGACAAAGAGGGAGCAGGGGCAGTGAGAGGTCAGATCTTCCACCTGCTTGTTTACCTCCCCAGACGCCTGAAATCATCCCAGGACCAGACCAGGCCAAAGCCAAGAGCCCGGGACTCCATTCGGGTCTTCCACATAGTGGCAGGATCCTGAGTACTTGGCCAGCACCTGCTGCCCCCAGAGGACACTGCCAGGGAGCCACACTGGAGGCACAGCAGCTGGGACCGGAACTGGCACTCTGGTAGGGAATGTGGGCATCTCAATGGTGACTTCGTGTGGTTGTCACAATGCCAGTCCCGGTTCTAGTGCTTTCTTAAACCTTCACAACTCTAAAGGATTTTGCCTTCTACCAATGGGGAAAGTGAGGCACACAGGTAGAGGAACTTGATCCATGTCGTGGTGAAGTCCACCCCAAGCTCCGGGCTCTTTGTTCTCAACTTCCAAGTCCAAGTGGAGGTGGTAGTGGGGAATAAACTGGGCCCTACGGGGGTGACCGAGCTAGGAGGAGGGGCTGACAAGGAGCCAAGAAGGATGCAAAAAAAACAGCTGGAGTGAAATGAAGGACGTCGCCCTAGGGAGCAGCCCCCAGCCCACGGCACAGGCAATGCCCACCAGGGGGCAGCAGAGCTGTCTTTCCCTTAGGCCTGGGCCCCGCAGTTGGCCCTCCTCCTGGACCTGAACCTTCCTGGCTAAGGGCGGACCTGGACCTGCGGGATTCTGGGAAGTGGAAACGTACCTGGTGACACGGTCTGGTGTGGGGAACTTGAACACAAACCTTCAAGCGCCTTACGGATAAAACACAGCCTTCCTCTTTCCTGCCTAACCCGCCCACCCACTGTCACCCCAGCCTCACGGAGGGACGCAGTCACCCCCACCGCACTCCCACTTTGGCTCATGATGAGCCGTCTGTGCCTTCACTCAACTCTGTGTGGTCATTTACCAGGCTGCCCCAAGCCTGTCTCTACCCTGTGAGGGGCAGTCACCGGGATGAAGGCTTAGCCCCGTGGGGAAGACGCTTGCATGCCACACCAGAATGCCTGGGTTCCAACCTCTTGGCTCCAGCCTCCTGCACATGCGGACCCTGGGAGGCAGAGCGACACCTCAAGCAGTCAGGCTCCATGGGGGAGTCTCCTTCTCTGTCTCTCAATAAAAGAAGTGGAATAACTACCACGTACATCACAGACTCAAAGTGCTGGGCCAAGTCAGCTGTCACTTCCAAAGCTGTTCATCTCCCATTATGTCCCCCAAAGTCTGAATGCTCTTCTCGCCTCTGTGTTTGCCCACCCTGCCCCTCCATGACTGAAACAGCCCATGTACCCTTACCCAGAACCCAAAGCTTCTTGGGGATTCAAGGGTAGCTTCCTCTCCAGCACCCCACCTGGCACATGGAAGCCAGGCTGGTGGGCGGATGGCAGGAGCCACCCTCACATTCCAACTCTGAGCGTCCAGGGGTGATATCCCAGGTTTCCCACTGTGGCGGGGTGGGGGTGGGAGCAGAGGGGTTCAGACTATGCAACACGTACCTCCTTGTTGTCCACCGGGATCTTGAGTTTCACCACCTCATACTTCTCCTCCCCCTCCTCCTCCTCCCCCTTCACCAGCAGCACCATCTCCTCCTGCATCTCTTCCTCCTCTTCCTCCTCGCCCTGTTGCTCCCCGGGCATCTTGGAATCCTGCAAGGGGGGAAGCTGGATCAGGAGCTCAGGACCACCGAGCACCACCACCCTGGCCCTGACCCAAGGAAAGCAGCGCAGCCCAGATGGTTCCCACAGCTTACCCTGCTCCCCAGGTCCGGCCCTCCTCCCATCCAACCCCAGCCTGGACCCCCTAAACCCTGCACGTTCACCCCACTCATCCCGGCATTCAAGGCCCTCAACAGTTCCAAATCTGCAAGCCCAGAGTCGCCACCCACCCCGACGCTGAGTCACTCCCTGCAGCCCGGGTCGGCGCCCCAGGAGCTCCAGGGCTCGGGCTGGAGACGGCGTGGGGCGCGGACCCTGCGGAGGAGCGCAGGGACTCACCACCCCGCGATCGGCGCTCGCGCGGACCCAGGCCTGGGCGCCGGGCTGCGGGGCACTCGGCGAGGCCGCGGCGCCTGGGACGGGGCGGGGGCGGGGCCCCGGAGGCGTCCCCTCATTGGCCAAGTCGCAAGGCCCCGCCCCGGGGGAGGGGCGCAGGGGCGGCAGGGCGGCTGCTCATTGGGCAGACCACAAGGCCCCGCCCCGGGGGAGGGGCGCGGGGGGCGGCCGGGCGGCTGGTCCCGAGCAGCCCGCACAGCGGCCGCCCTGCGCTGCTCCCCCGGCGCCCCGGAGCCCGGCGCTGCCCCATCGCGCCTCCCCCGGGCCTCGCAGCCCGGTTCTAACGTACGCTCCCGGGCTCGTCTCCCACGACTGCCTCGCAGGTCCCGCCGCTTCCCCGCGCCGAATAGGCCACGTGCGCTCCCGCCCCGACCTGGGCCTCTTGCTCGAGCCCCGCATGGAGGGTGGACCCCTGCTGCCTCCCTTATCTCTCACTTCTTCCCGTTTTCTTTTTCTTTTTCCTTCTTCCCTCTTTTTTTTCCCCCGAGAGATCTGGTGCGGGGGTGCCTTGCTGTGCACTTGGGGTCACAGCTCATGTTCCTTCAAATTCAGGCAGGGGGCCTACAGATGAGGTGTGGGAGCAACCCTGTCCACCAGCAGACAGCCTCAAAAGGAAATGGAAGTGCCCGGGGCCAAATCCAGTCCCTAGCTGCTGAAGTAGCTTACTTTGCCCTCAGGGTGTATTCTTTAAAAAAAAAAAAAAACTGTGGGGTTATTATTACAAATTACTTAAAAATAAATAAATAAGGTCCATCCTAAGGCACCTGTGTGGAAGACCTCAGCGAGCTCACCTTTGGCCTTTGCCGCCCTTTAGGGAAAATCTTTCTGTCTCTCTGTGTCACCTGATCTGCCTATCCAATATTTTTTTTTAAAATTACACAGACAAATAGATATCACTCCAGACAAAAGAAGTACCAGTTGCAAGCTTTTAATTTCCAACATCTAAACATTGGGATGCTTCTTACAAAAGTCTGTATTTCCCACATCAACAAATAATCTCATTCCCTCATTTTCTGAATGGGGCAGAATCAAGAAAGAGCTACAGAGAAGCAGCCTTCAGCAAGTGCCTACAATCTGTTGTTCCGGTAGAGTTGACCCTGAGAGGGTCAGTAACAGTGTTTCCCTTGCACCAAAGAGCAAACACCCCAGGAGAAGAGACAACGGGCAGGGGCTGGCTAACGCCCATGCCCACCCTGTGCTCCTTGACTGGCAGGGATTTGCTTTCCTGGGAGTCAGGCTGCCTGAGGACTCGGGCAGAGAAGGGATCCAACCCTAACCCCAGGCTGCAACACGTGGCTGCGCTGGGAGGAGGGCAGACCTGGACATTCACATGCAGGAGCCCCCAAAGCCACTTTGATTAGTATTCATCTCTCTCTTTTTTTTTAATTTTTAAAAATTACATATTTTTATGAAAGGCAGATTTAAAGAAAGGAGGACAGATCTTCCATCAGCTGATTCACTCCCCAAGTAGCCTCAAGGACCACAGCTGTGTCAGTCCAAAGCCAGGAGTCAGGAGCTTCCTCCAGGTCTCCCAAGAAGCTCAGGGTCCCAAGGCTTTGGACCATCCTCCACTGCTTTCCCAGGCCACAAGTAGGGAGTTGGATGGGATGTGGAGCATCCAGGACACAAGCTGGTGCCTATTTGGAATCCCAGCGCATGAAAGGTGAGGAATTTAGTCACTAGGATACTGCATTGTGCCTGGGGCCCTTTAAATATATATCATTTTTTAACATTTATTTTTTTAAGATTTATTTATTTTTATTGCAAAATCAAATATATAGAGAGGAGGAGAGACAGAGAGGAAGATCTTCCGTCTGATGATTCACTCCCCAAGTGACCACAACAGCCAGTGCTGCGCTGATCTGATACCAAGAGCCAGGAACTTCCTTCAGGTCTCCCACATGGGTGCAGGGTCCCAAGGCTTTGACCTGTCCCTGACTGCTTTTCCAGACCACAAGCAGGGAACTGGATGGGAAGTGGAGCTGCCGGGATTAGAACCAGCACCCATATGGGATCCTGGGGGCGTTCGAGGCAAGGACTTTAGCTGCTAGGCCATGGCGCTGGGCTCTTTATTTTCTTTCTTTCTTTCTTCCTATTTATTTTTATTGGACAGTCAGATATTCCGAGAGGAGGAGAGAAAGAGAGGAAGATCTATTCTGCTGATTCACTCCCCAAGCAGCTGGAATGACTGGAGCAGAGCCAATCCGAACCCAGGAGCCAGGAGCCGCTTCCAGGTCTCACACACAGTTGCAGGGTCCCAAAGCTTTGGGCCATCCTCGACTGCTTTCCCAGGCCACAAGCATGGAGTTGGATGAGAAGCAGGGCTGCCAGAATTAGAACCAGTGCCCATTTAGGATCCCAGCACGTGCGAGGTGAGGACTTTAGCCTCTACTACTGTGCCGGGCTCTTATTTTATCTTTAATATTGTTTACATAGTTGAGAGGGATGCACACCCATGTGGATGTCCAATTAGGGCAGGAAGGGGTGGGTGGTACAAATGTTGCAATTTTTTTCCTCCTGTGTCCACAGTGAGGGAAAGGGAGGGGCCATTGCTTGTTACCAAAGTACATCAGCAGGCACAGATAGGGACAGTTATTTGATGATGTTTGATGACACCTTAGAGGAAGTGTTCCAAGTAGAGTGGTTTGATAGTTCAGAGATATCATCACTTTTACACTAGGGTGGTGAAAATCTTTCCAAGGTCTACTGGCAAATTAAATCCAGCTCGGTGCACCCACAGGCCCAGGAACATGTGGCAAAGCTTGGCCGGGTGAGTTGACCAACCTAGTTTCCATTCCAGCATCTGAGAGTCGACATCCTCTGCTGCCCGAGAAGATGGTGCTGATATGAGATTCTTGAACCACAGGTGGAAGATTAGCCTACTACACTACACTGCGCCCAAGGCACTTCTAACATCATAAAAAAACAACCTCAGACAGTGTGCCAGATTAACCTGCTGAGATGAGACAGGCACTGAGGCAGCAAGGTCTGTTTCCGTGGGTGTTGTAGCAGTCTGTTCACAATGACAGTACTGCAGAGTGGTCTTATTTTTTTTTTTTTTAAGATTTATTTTTATTATTTTTTTTTTATTGGAAGGGCGGATATACAGAGAGGAGAGACAGAGAGGAAGATCTTCCGTCCGATGATTCACTCCCCAAGTGAGCGCAACGGGCCAATGCTATGCCGATCCGAAGCCAGGAGCCTCTTCTGGGTCTCCCATGCAGGTACAGGCAGGGAGCTGGATGGGAAGTGGGGCTGCCGGGATTAGAACCGGCGCCCATAAGGGATCCCGGGCGTGCAAGGCAAGGACCTTAACCACTGCGCCACTGCGCCACCGCGCCGGGCCCAAGTGGTCTTATTTTATTTCCCTTTTTCTGCAACCACACGTGAAAGTTGCTCTCTGCCAGTGGCAAGAGGACAGTATGTTGGAACACTCAGCAATTATCAGGCAGCACCAGGAAGCTTACCTGTCTCTTGGGTGAAAATCTCAGAAGCCGATCATCCAGAAATGGTAAGCGAGATCACACTGGGAACTTGGACTGTGTTTTCCATCAGCTTTTCCTCTTTCTTTTGTAAACAAGGTGAGATGGAGAGAAATCACCCATCTACTGGTTTGTTTCCCCAAATGGCCACCATGACTAGAGCTGACCTGATCCAAAGCTGAGAGCCAGGAGCTTCTTTTTGGGTTTCCCACATGTGTAGGGGGCCCAAGGTTTGAGCCACATTCTGTTGCTTTCCCAAGCCATACGCAAAGTGCTAGATAAGAAGTGGAGCAGGTAACACGCCACTTGTCTAAAAACATACAGATTTTTTTAAGCCTTTTTTTTTTTCTATTGCAAAGTCAGAGAGAAGGAGAGACAGAGAGGAAGATCATCCGTCCCATGATTCACTCCCCAAGTGGTCACCAACGGCTGGAGCTGAGCCAATCTGAAGCCTGAAGCCAAAAGCTTCTTCCGGTGCTCATATGGGATCCCTGCATGTTCCAGGCGAGGACTTTAGCTGCTAGGCCACAGTGCCAGGCCCCATACAGATTTTTATATCCCAAAAAGCCAGGGTGTCAAAGCTCTGGTTACAAAGTCCTGGATATACAATCTTTTGTTAATCCCCATCTTGGGTAGAACTGAGTCTAGGGTTGGCTTTCCTGTGTTAATTATTGAAGAAAGCCAAAAGGGAAGAGCAACATAGCCAACTTGAACAAAGGGAGAAAGGAGGAGATCGACTTGGGTTGGGCGGGGCCATCTTCCTTGATTTACAATGGGAGGGAGATTGGAAAGATAGCATTGGGACTTGGTTGCTCCAAGTCACCAGGTGTTCTTGGTTGTGATAAGCCTCTAGTCCACAGACACTCTAAGTTCCTTCAGCAAAGCAGATCTGATTTTTATACAGACAAGGAGACAGGAAAAACTTCCATCCACTGGTTCATTCCCCAGGTGGCTACAACAGCTGGAGCTGAGGAATCCGAAGCCAGGAGCCAGGAGTTTCTTCCATGTCTTCCACACAGGCATGGGAGTGTTGCAGGAATTTTGACTCCGAGTATGGCAGCAACCTCAAATTCTTGTCTCGCAGGAAAGAAGAATTTTCATGCGGACACAGTTTAGTTTTAACACAAGATTTATTAGGAAAGTTGAGAAGAGAAGACTCCCGTCCTAGTGACGGGAGGGGGCTTTGAGATAGAAAGAACCCTTACCTCCTGCCATAGTGGCAGGAGGAAAAGGACCTCAGTGCTCTGCCATAGTGGCAGGAAAATAAGAAGCAAAACCCTAGTCCTCTGCCATAGTGGCAGGAGAAGAATAAGCAAAACCCTAGTGCTCTGCCATAGTGGCAGGAGGACAAGAAGCCAAAACCCCAGTGAATGGTGGGGAATGCACCTTTTAAAGGTTTCCCTCAAAGATGTTTCTCCTTAAACAAAGAAAGTTCCTGATTTCCAAGGTACCTGGCCTTGGGACAAAAGGTCACAGAGATACCAGACATAGGACATTCCAGGCCTTAGGCACCACTGTCCCTTGGAAGAGACGTGCCCTGGTGAGTTCAAGAC